ATCAAAACGTTTTTCCGTGATTCCTCCTCATCCAAAAAATTGAAAGCACGCGACCGTGTGTTGTGGAGTGAACGGGCTTTCAAGCACGTGATGGAAAGAAACAATCTACTGAGGCTTCACCACACTAATGAACACTCAGGCAAACTTAAGAAATTTTCGGACCTTCGTCACATTACATTGCTCGCCCCCGCGCCGACAGCACGTGTCCGCGAAAGCCATCAGAGACGCGGCGGGGCGCGGAGCGACCTGGACCGACTGGTTCCCGGTTTTCCCGCTTGGCGGCGTCCGTTTTGCTGGAGTCGCGAATAGGGGCCAAAAGAAGTAACACACTGGCCTTGCGGCAAAAAAAAAAAAAAAAAAAAAAATGAAAAAAAGTGTCCGATTGAGCGGCTACAGAAGCGCCTCGTCGCGGCTCGCGTTGACTTCGTACGCTCGCTATATTCCCGACTTGAACCAATCGCGCAAAGTGAATGCCTCACGTGTTCCTGCGATTTCTTCTGTGCGTGATCGGTTTGATAGGTGATAAAAGAGACGTGCACGGATGACAAGCGCCGCGTCCATATGCACTTTTAGATCCACCTGATCGTCTCCAACGATTCGTACTATACGTATATAGCGTCGGCTGGGGTCGGACTTGATGGGAAACCGAGTGTATGCAGTGAATTCCGCCTCGTTCTTGCTATTTACCGATCGTATCACGGGGACGTGCAGGGCTGTCACGGTGTAGACTAGCCGTGGGAGCTGCTCCACAATTCCGCAGCCGTTTCGCAGATATAGGTGTGCCGCACAAGTCGCAACGCGAGGTCACGGCGCGCAAAACGCTTCTTTATATTTTTTTTTTCCTCCGGCAGCGTTGCCACTTACCACCACTATCTTTTCCGGAGCGGACCTTGTATACACAAGTCGAGCGCGTTATTTCGACGATGCTGTGGGGTTTGACGCCGCTGTGTGTGTTTGATTGTTTCTGAAAATAGGTTGGCGGAGTTGTGAAATCCCCCCCTCCCCCTCCCCCCCCCCCCCCCCCCCCCCCGCGCCGTCGAGACGGATGAGTTGAAGAGGCCAGCGCACGTGCCTTGTGTTGGTGAACACACATTTCTGTGTTGGCAAACACACAACGTCCCTGTGGCGTGTCAGCAGATAATTTTTTCATAGTGTCTCGAGCGAACACGTTTGTACGTTGTACGGGCAGTAGTACTACAAGTACTACAGTGTACTAGATTACTTGGGATAGTGTTGGGACCTGAGCGGCCTCGGCAACGGGAGCTCGTGAGGGCACGTCTATTGACAGTTTGTGGCGGCGCTGTAGGCGAGTTACCCGGAAAAAATCGCGCAGCCCGCCACGTTTGGCGGAAGATGCGTTTAAAATCGACGACGCTATTGCTTTTTTTTTTTTTCACTTTGAGCGGTGCGCGTGTTGGTATGCCGATCACGATATCATAGTGCCGTGTGTTCGATCGAAATATGTTTTGAATCTTGTGTGTTCTGATTTTGCGGATGGTGAACGCGTAAGTGTAGCGCCGAAAGGCCGTCGGCAAAACGGCGACAGAACTCTTGCTGCTCACCTGGTTGCCAAACGGGCTACATCAGAGTGAAAGGCGTGTAAACGGCGTCAATTCTCGGCGTTCCAAAGGACAGTGCCACAAGGGATCTTCGAGAAAAGAATATGCAACGATCGGACACACGTCTTGAAGAAACAAGCGCTGTCTGCGAGCTGCACTTCGAGCCCCGCTTCATCCTTCGAGACGATATGTCTACATAATTCGCGGAAAAGAAGTGAGGATTCCTTGTAGGTATCCCGCGCTCACGCCAGACGCGGTGCCGACTCTGCTGCCAAGTGTACCCCAGGACCTCAGGGGTGACCCTCCCGCAGGACGAGAGGAGAGGAACCGGAAGGCAAGTCCACCAGAGTCCATCGTTGCAAAGCGTTCGGGACTCGCTCGGGAAACTTGCCCTTTGTCACCAGTGGTGAATAGCGAAGCTCCTGCCGTTGGCATATTCAGATCCCTGAATATGCCAACTCCCTACTGGGCTGTTCACAAGTTCAACAACTTTTACGGCGTTCCTTATTTGGAGCCTGCTCTTGAGCCGAAGTCCAACAAGATCAGCATCGAAAGGGCGGTGTTCATTTGTTTCGACAACTTACCTGATGTGGTATGCCAAGTATACCTTCAGGGCCATGTATGCGCTGCACATTGTAACCATGTATTTTCAATGCCGTGCTGTAAACGATTACAACTTTTACCTTGACTTATTTACGTGTGCTGTTGTTTCCTGGTCTAAATGATGTGAAATAGTTGCTTGTTTTCTTCTTTGAATCTTAAGAAGCATTACTTTTTCAGCCGACATTGTCTCAATTTTTTTCTCTGAAGTTTAATGCTAAAACGCGTGATAAAAATTGTCACGGCTTATAAGCCATTTCTTACAAGTGAACGTCGGGTGGTCCTCGCATGGTCGTGGCGGCCATGAATAAATTTAAGATTCTCATCTCCTTGCAACCGGCGCTTGGGAGGTTTGTCGCACAAATAAATACAAGAATGAGTGACAAGCAAAACGAGCTGCTTAAAGTCGAACTGAAGAAGAAGACAGACAGAAAAGAAGGCAGAGAAGTTCACCTGGGGTACTTAAAAGACATATCAAAACAATCTCGGGCTTTAGTATGTGCCGTTTCGTTTCACTTGAAATCAAATAGCAACAAAATTGCTCTCGAGTTTTAGATATCCCCGCAAACTATCTAATTTTTGGCCTTTTCCAACCAAGGAAATTGGAATTTCATTTAAAATGCTCACCATCTGACGAATCGAAAGTCGCAGGTAATTCTACGCTGAAAAAACTTGCAATCCGCTCCTTTGAAGTCGCAATTGTTTTGATGTGAAGGCAGAGTAATGTAGCTTGTACCGCCCAATACATTGCAGCATCGTGTTGCCCACGGTCGCGCGGTACGATCGCTGGTAGGTCATAGCTGTATCAGAAATCCTATTTGCACTCTTCCAAAGCGGCACGAAAAATTCATATTTTCGCGCCTGCAGCCGCGCATGCGCACACCTTCTGGGTAACGCGCCGGTGTCGACACCTGTCGCGATCAATACCACGCGCCTCAGGCGAGCCGCTCTGGTACCAACACTACCCAAGTATTCTAGTACACTGTAGTAGTACTGCATGCCGCTTGAAGGTTGCATAAAATGAGCTTACTGGGTCTAACAACAACAGCAAATGTTCCCAGGATACTGCCCTGTCTCGTTAAAATGTCGATCTCCGTTCCCATCCAAAGTCGCCCGTCCTCGACCCTCATAACGAGACAAAAATACACAAACCGCCCCAGTTCGCTCCCGAAAGATTGTTTATATATATAGCGGAATATTCATACTAACCGGCTTCGTATAATAATGGAGTTCGTATTAATGAGAGAGGGATGACTCGGTAGTCTGGAACAACTCCTACTGGCGGCTGGTTCTTGAAAGACGAATGGCACCTGCCGCTCCGTGCACGCGTACACACACAAACGAGACTCAACCGAGCACCGTCGCCGACGGGTGTTGTCGCCGGCGGGTTCTTCACACGATGCACGCCGTTGCCAGACGACATGTTCCCAGCGGAAGTGACGTAAGACGCGCTTCTCTCGAGGCGCGCAACGCGCGCGCGAACCGGTCCACGCACGCGGGTTGTTGGTCAGTAGAAGCTTGCGCGTTTTCTCTTTCGGATCGGTCGAGTGGAAAACCGCCCGTGGCCTTCGCGAGACTGGTTCTTTTTTTTTTTCGGTGCGTGGAAGCGGCGGGAGCAAGAAGGCAGGAGGGAAGATTCACCCGGCATTCAAACAAAACACCACATGCGGCCGTTCCACGTTCGAGATTCTCCGGTGAGTAAATAACTCGAGCGTTTCTTTTCTGTCTGCCTTGCGTCGGCAAACGTTTTCTCCCACCGAATTATTCGCTGTCACTCGTCGCTTTCTCAAGTGCCCTATTGCGATGATCTTGGAGTTGTCGGAGGTGGAAGGCTGTTGGTCCCACCGGTGGTGAAACGCGTCCCTGCCTGACCCTTGTGATCCTTTTCCACGCCGTCGAGGTTATGGCCGAGCCGAAGCCTAGCGAAGCTGGAATGCGGAAAACGGGCACCTTACGGTCTTTTTTATTCAAGCATCTAAAGGAATTAAGAGTCTGGGGAGTTTTAGCGGATTGTCTTTTCGTAGAACGCTATTGAAATCGAACGCTAGCGCTGCCATTTAAGCACGCTTTGAAGCGCGCACCCTTAGCCCTAGTGACGTTCAAAAACGGCTTCCTAAAACTCCCATACTCTTTTATATCAAACGATATAATTACTTGTAGAAAAGATTATGCGAAGGTTTCTTGAGTGTAAGGGTGCGCTAGCAGTAACTGAAAAGTCTGCCGCACCGCAATGGCCAACTGTCGGCGTTCATTATACGTAATCTAGCACGGGATTACAAATAGGACATAGTCCACAATAGTTTCTTTCAAAGCAGACTTTGTTTAGGCAAAATACGTTTTATATGCGTGCTAAGAGATATCTAGGAAGTACGCGCAAAAACTCCCAGGGCGAAAAATGTCAATCCTGCCAGCTCGTTCGAATTATCGTTTGGGTTTCCTTTTGGTTTATCAAACGGCCTTGATTTAGAAAGTCCGCCAGTCACAAGCTCTCAGCTGCATTTGCGATCGACCCGCCACGCATCGCATGGGTCGCGAGTGTGTTTTTCCCGAGGTCGGCCCTCCAAAAGCATTTCCAAAAGTGCTGCGAGTCATCCAAGTGTTACCTCTCCAAATGACTACGCTTTCTAAGAATGACCGCTCAAAAGCAGGAAAACTTTATTGTGGCGTCAACTGCGTCGGGTCTCACGTCCCACTCGCTGCCGGCGCCTCCTTCTCTCCTCATTGTTAACCGCCCATCAAGCGCACATAAGCATTCGTAACTCCTTTGTATTCCGTTACAGAGCCCGCTCGCCATGATGGTGCGGAGAGTCATCTAGCCGTCCCAACACCGTGTAAGCCATCATGATGCCGACTCTATTTTTCGTGCTAACGAGCGTCTTGTCAACCGCGACAGCAGCGTTCCACGAGTACGAGTACAACTGCAACACCACAGCGCTTCCATGGTCTGTAAGCCGTGAAGACCATCCGGTTCTTTCAGAAAACGGTCTTGAACGTCTGCTGCAATGTCCCAAAGACCTTCACGGCTGCAGCTCGGATATAACCCCCTGCGAGGAAGAACGCTACATTGTGACGTGTTCGTGCGCGTCCAACTGCCAGGACTACGGTGACTGTTGCTGGCAGGCTGGACCTTCTCTCGAAAGACACTCTTCTTCCTCTTGCATCAGACTCAACGTAGAAGGAAAGTACGAGAGGGATTTGTACATGGTCACAGGGTGCAATCCTACCTGGCCGATGGATGATACCAGAGAGTCTTGCGAGGCCATAGACAGTTTCCAGGATACATTCTATGTCATCCCAGTGACGAGCGCAAGGAATGTCACTTACCGAAACGCTTTCTGCGCACTCTGCAACTACGACCTGGACAACGCGACCACCTTCTGGAACGCAACAAGCAAGATTCGCAGGTACTTTAAGGTCACCACACCAGACATGGCCGACGAGAACAAGCCACTCCATCTCAGACCATGCGCCTTCCACACCAGAATCAACGATTCTTGCCTGGAAGGGTCGGACTCCGAAACCGTACGTAGATGTCACACTTACTTCGCCCCAGTGAAACCCAAGGGAAATGAGTCCGAAGTCATCTACAAGAACATCTACTGCGGCCTCTGCAACGGTGCTGATCCATTAGAACTCGAGTGCGCCCCGATGTTAGTGGTCCCAGAAACGTGGTTTCTTCCTCAACTCAGATCTGGCAGACCCAACTTGCTTTCCTTGCTGAGACCAGTTTTGACCAGTGACTCCTGCTTCTCGTGGCACAGCAACAAGTGTTACATCCGAGCACCCCAGTACCGCTACAACGCTAGCGTTACTGGAGCCAACGCCAGCCTAGTGAATGGCACCAACGCTACTGCATCTGAGCAACAGCCCTACGACATCCAAAACTACTTGACCGTTGTGTGCGTGAGCCTATCTTTGTTGTGTCTGCTCCTGAAGGGCCTCGTGTATATACTCTTCAAGAGTTCACGAACTTTCTCTTCTAGATGCACTCTGTGTCTCTCGGCTACATTGTTCTGGAGTCAGCTGATCTTCCTTCTGGTCAACAGCCTGGAGGTTCCCCAGTCTGTTTGCACGGGGTCAGCTATTGTTCTCCACTATGGCTTCCTGTCAACGTTCTTCTGGACGAGCGTCTTGTCGTTCGATATCTGGAAAAATGTAGCAGGCGTCAGGCTCACCTCTGGGAGGAGCAGTGGCTTCATTGCCTACTGCCTCATTGCCTGGGGTGGACCATTGGCGATCATAGCTATTTGTGTCTTACTGAACTGGACAGCTCCGACATTCGTGCTGTCGCCCCGATACGCACGCCGCGGCTGTTGGATAGGGAGCTTCTGGGGACAGGTGACTTTCTTTTTGTTCCCGATGTTCGCCTTGCTAATCCTGGATATCGGCCTATACGTGCACATCGTCTACCACATTCGCAAGACCGTCAAGCAAGCCGCCAACTTCGACTTCAGGGGTGGTGCACAGCGTTCTCACATGGCGCTATTCATCAAGCTTGGCTTCATCATTGGCACGACATGGCTGCTTGGATTCGTGGGAGTTTTTGTGAATAACATTGCCATGGACATCATCGTCATCATCTTCGTGGGGCTACAAGGTGTTTACCTCTTCTTCGGCTTCAGGGACTACACGTACTTCCTGCCGAAGCGCCCGTTCAGAAAGGATCTGGCCCGAACCACGAGCGCTTCGAGCGCGAACACCGATGTACCGACCATCGAGAGGCACCCCAATGGAAGTTTGCGTGAAGGTGTGCAGAGAGGACCCGCCTTCAATACGTTCGAGAAGTTGGAGTGAGAATGCGTCTATTCAGGCTGTTATATTTATACCATGTTCGTTGTCGAGCTTCGCCCACACAAACTGTCTCGCGTTATTTGTTTGTACGGAGACCATGAAACATGAGAAATACGCAACATGTCAGTGTTCCTTTCTCTGCTCTTCTGTGACCCTATTCTTCGAGTGCTGGCATCGGGAAGCAGTGTAGACAATAGATAAGTATTATTTTACTGATCTTTTTTTGGAGGGGGGGGGGGGCGGAGGGGGGCAGTCATACTGCTTGTACATCATACATAAAACACGGTGTTCGTTTCAGACATGATGCCAAATTTGTCTGCGGACACGCTCAATCATGTTCGAAGTTTCATACATACATATATCTGTTGACAATGTTGGTACGACCAATTCCACCGGAGTGTCGTCCGAAGAAAAAAGACGCCTCAGACAAAGTCTTCTGATTCTTTTGTACAGTCTATTCGCGGTGAAACTGCGGCTTAATGCCTGGTAAACAAACGATGCACTTCTTCGACCACTCCAACACCGTTCTCGCGTTCTTTGGCATAACTGACCGATTTAAAAACCCATTCACGAACATTGCGCGTTCCGAGTGACCGACCAATGCCATCAGAAAAAAAAAAAAAAAAAAAAAAAAAAAAAAAGGTCCCAGCGTGGACGACCGAGATATTATACGGCCGCGATCTTTCGTGCCTTCCGTGCGTGCCACCGGAAAGCGCCGCCTTTGTTTGGCACGCTTTAAGGGCGGAAGCAACCCTATCGAATCGCGAAGTTTTTCTGCCGGCGGCGAAGGTCACGCGAGTCTTGATGGCGGTGTAACCTTGGCTCCAGCGCGGACGTACGATGCTCCAGGGAACAGTTTCGAGGATTCCGGGCCTCTTCTGCTGTACCCCCGGGGATAGTTTGTCCCACCAAACGGCTGCCTTGCTTATGCTAATGCCCCTCGGCTGCATCGCGCGCCCCTCGGGTTACGGCCGTGGTATAGAATAGCGTTCGCATGGTGAACCTCTTCAACCCGTTGTGCTGGAAGGTTTGACGGTATATGAATGGCAGTGATGTCTATGTATTAGTCTTATAGCCGTTTTGCAGCTCTTCACGACAAAACTGGTAAACCTCGGAGTGGTAGGCTGTAGGTGGCGCAAGCTGCCGCCCGTTACAAAGGTATAGCCATTACCATCCATCCGGTAGTTTTTAGTGCAAATTATTTCCAACACACTCGCAGACACGTTCGAGTCATACATCTGTATGAAGCTAATATGCTTCGAATATGCCTGAAGCGTCTCCGCAGAGAAACTCCGCGTCCTTTGTACGACGTACGAGTGTGATCACTCATGACTGGTACAATTAGAATGCTGCTTCCGCTGCACTGTCAGTTTACGGGACACGGGAGTATAACAGAGCCGAACATATACTGCGTAGTGGCGTGCGCGCGAAAAGTAAAAGCATTTCAGTTGAAAACGTCTGTCACTTTTTGTGCGCATGCTCTTGCGCTGTTGACTCTTTCGCCTTATTGCGGTATTTTGAAAGCTTCGAGTACAAACTATCTTCTTTTTTTTTTTTTTTTTTTAAGGGTTCATGTCCGTAGGCTCGGAGATTAATATGTCGCCGGCTTTGTTGAAAAGGGAACATCTGATTTGACTTGAAAGTCGGTCAGCTTAACAGGTTTGGCTTATGTCGGAATGATTGGTTAATTTGCTCAATATATGTCTCCTAGCGCAGCATCGTGTTTGAAAGGGTCTTGAGAACGTGGCTACAAATTATAGAGTGAGGCGCTTTTTTAATTCGATCATCTTCCAGCGGTCAACTAAAGTAGGTCAATATATCACGTCACAAACACAACTGGCGGTGGTCGCGGTGTACATCCCCATGTGCAATAAATCTTAGCCTGGAATTGCCACTTCAGCGAGCAAGGTTGAAGTGGCTGCGTGTATGACAGGCCAACACTGCAACCGATGCAGAGTGAAGACTTTATTGGAACGATAAGGAACTCCGAGCGGCGAACGCTTACTTTTCAGAGCAAACCAAGGCCTCTCGACCGGCACTGACGGGGTTACTTTTAGATTGTAAAGCAATTGCACCGCGGAAAACATTCGTAAAACGTTTGAAAAGTAATTGTCAGAAATTATCGAGAATTAAAAATGACGGATATCTATTGCACTACTTCTACGAAGTATTATTACTTTGAGATTACTTTCTTATTAGTTCCCACATTAACACGGCAGAGCTATTATTTTCTTTCTAACACTATATGCATAGCGTAAAGCAGCCGAGGCCTTGTCTCAGTGGAGTTAAAATGATGACCTCGTTGAAGCTACATCTGACAGTGAAAAGTTTCGGCGCGGCTATGTCTGTCTCCCACCGCATTGATTTTTAAATATTAATTGTTTTACCCATTAGTGTTTTCCTACGTCAACCTATTATCCTGGTGCTTATCTCCACCGCTTCCTAAGTCTCACTTCACATTTTACTATAGTTTTTTCTAATTATTACATTACTTAAGCACATTCTACGCAACATATTTCATTACAGAAATTATTACTGGAAAGTAAATGGTCACTGCAGCGACGCAATTTACAGGTACACTCTCCGGCAATATGAAAGACCCACTGGGAGCGCGTGGCCGAGGCGGTGGCTGGCGGGGGCGTTGCAAGCGCTCCGGGCAATTCCATTCTGCTTCAAGGGGAGGACGCTTACTCGGGCTCAGCTAAAGCGAAACACGTTTATCAGATTGTGCTAAGCCCCAAGTTAGCGTCCTCCCCTCGAAGCAGCATGGAATTGCCCGGAGTGCTCGCACGCCCCCGCCAGCCACCGCCTCGGCCACGCGCTCCCAGTGGGTCTTTCATATTGCCGGAGACTGTACCTTTGCTTTCCACTGTGAAAACCCTGAGGAAGTCGGTGACCTAATGTGTAAGCCACCTCAACTCGGAGGTACGTGGAATGAAAGCCCGCTCTTAGCTGCAACGTCCGGGGGTTCTTGGTTTGATCTAGAGTCACTAAATAAATTTCTAGAATACCGAAACTCCAAAGTTCCGCGCCGTAGCGCTCAAATTCATCAATATCAGTGTCGCCATTTTTGGATCCTTGCATAGTACACTGTACAATAACTTTACGCATATCGCGTCGCTGACGTTGTCGAAAGGTTTTTCAGGTAAGTGTGTGGCGCGGTGGATGGTCGCTTTAAACCATTTGCGACATCATTTACAATGCAGTCTAGCTGCACTCGCGTAATCATCATTCCGTGGTTCGCGTTAAGGACACCCAGTTTAGGAGTCGAACCTCACTGGAAAAATATATAATTTTGAGATATCTGTCTAAATAAAAAAAAGAATAATTCATTCGACGAGGGTGGTCTGTGCCGTGTGTGTTTTGCAGTGGCGAACTTTATCGCTTAGAGCTTAGCCGCTTACTTCTGCCATCACATTAAGCCGCTAGGAGTATTTTGTTTACGCGTGTCGAGCATTAAAGGAACTGTCGTGTAAATGCCGAAGCATTTAATCGATTTATTTACAACTGCATACAAGATGTTCACGACTGGACAGAAACAGGATAGATTGAAACATAGTATCAAGTTCTTGTGATAGCTTGACAATTGCTTTGCTGGCCAGATGAAGCTTGCAGTTAAGTTGAGCAATGATTTCCCCATGACGATTCACAAGGCAGTTGGCCGTCGACGCTATCTCGGTAAATGGTTATGGCAGACAAATGGAACTGACGATGAGTTACGAGAACGGTTTGATATAGTATAATCAATTACTTTCTAAAGTGCCAACCCCAAGGATGTTTGCGTCATTATTCATTCTACCTGAGCAGCAAGATACATCTCGTTCATTGGGGGCATCAAGTGACATACCTATATAAGACCGTGCTGTGAAGGCTTCATATGTTTTTGTGTCACAAAAGAGTAAAACAGCAATGTAAGCAAGAATAAAAACTCAAATGACAACCGCCTAAGTGCCCATTCACACAAGACTGTTCGCTTAAATTGCTTTATGAGTCACACGAATGTTCGTGCTTTGAAGTTTGCATGCAAAGCTACTCTTTACATTTGTTTACGCTTTGTCAGAATGGAAGCGATTTGAATAAAAATAACTGCAATATAAAGCTTATTCAGAAGCATGCCGTTGTTCCAAGCATCGTTCGTGTCGAACCACGCTCAGTCGAGGCAGTCTGATCGGCTGCTAGTCGACGAGCAATATGCGGAAAAGACAAGTGAAATGCACTGACCTCACACACCTTGCTTGCTGTAGTGGGCTTCGAATTCTTTCGTTGTATAATGGCAAGCCAAGCACTTCTCCACTTCACATTAGCGTTCTTGCCGGCAGAGACTTTTGCTGTTCTCTGACCTGCTTCGGCACCCGAAAGCACAGTAGGTAGACGCATGGGAGTGGCCAAATACGAAACGTTAAGATGTGATTCCATGAAAATACGACCACCTTAACGACGAAGTGGCTGAGAGGCGACCCGGAGAGTTGCAGCAGAAGCTGTCTGGACCTAATATGGTGGCTCATGGCGGCGATTAGAAAAAAAAATTATAATGATAGTGGCGGCACACGTAACTGCTGCCGTCCAGTGATGCCGCAGGAAACCAAAACATAAACGGCTAGTGTGGGACTGTTGTGGGCAAAGTATTAAAGGATGGGAATGCGGTACTCTGACAGACTATTCAGTGACTCTACTCAGGTTTCCCCCCCTGCCTGTTTTCCTCTGGATGAATAGCCTACCGGCGTGCGGTCGTGTATCAATTGATACTGTGCGACGCACGTCAAAAACCCCACACTAGCAGTTGTTCCGCGCTTGCGACATTTCTGATTTACAGCGTAAACGATTGCCGTCTTACATCAGAGGCTAGCCGACTTTACATATGCTATCTATTTTTCGTTTCACTTTAAAGGGCCGCTGCAACGATTTTTTTTTCTACTTTGCGGAAATACCGCTTAGTACAAATCAGTGTTGCGGAGCTGCCACTCCGGAGTTGGAATGATTCAGGAATCATTCCTCATTTTTGCGACCCCGGAATAGAATAAGA